GTAAAATTTAGAGAAGGATGTTGCCATTCCAACTGGACTCACCCCTTTATGTGGGCAATGCAGGGGCCAAATTTAGACAAGGAAATGGCCCTTCCAACTTCACTCACCTTTTTGTGGGCCTTGCGGGGTAAAATTTAGAGAAGGATGTTGCCATTTGAACTTGACTCACCCCTTTGTGTGGGCAATGCAGGGGCAAAATCTAGAGAAGGAAGTGGTCATTCCAACTTGACTCACCCTTTTGTGGGCAAGGCAGGGGGAAAATTTAGACAAGGATGTTGCCATTCCAACTCGACTCACCCCTTTCTGTGGGCAATGCAGGAGTAAAATTTAGATAAGGAAGTGGTCATTCCAACTTGACTCACCCTTTTGTGGGCAATGCAAGGGTAAATTTTAGAGAAGGATGTTGCCATTCCAAGTTGACTCACCCGACTTGACTCACCCGTTTATGTGGGCAATGCAGCGGTAAAATTTAGAGAACCAACTTGACTTCCTCTTTTGTGGGCAATGCAGGGGTAAAATTTAGAGAAGGATGTCGCCTTTCCAACTTGACTCACCCCTTTATGTGGGCAACGCAGTGAAAAAATTTAGACAAGGAAGTGGCCCTTCCAACTTCACTCACCCTTTTGTGGGCCATGCAGGGGTAAATTTTAGAGAAGGATGTTGCCCAAGTTGACTCACCCTTTGGTGGGCCATGCAGGGGTAAAATTTAGAAAAGGAGGTTGCCATTTCAACTTGACTTACCCCTTTGTCACCCTTTTGTGGGCAATGCAGGGGTAAAATTTAAAGAAGGATGTTGCCATTTCAACTTGACTCACCCTTCTGTGGGCAAGGCAGGGGTAAAATTTAAAGAAGGAAGTGGCCCTCAACTTGACCCACCCTTTTGTGGGCCACGCAAGGGCAACGCAGGGGTAGAATTTAGAGAAGGATGTTGCCTTTTCAACTTGACTCACCCCTTTGTGTGGGCAATGCAGGGGTAAATTTTAGACAAGGAAGGGGTCATTCCAACTTGACGCACCCTTTTGTGGGCCATGCAGAGGTAGAATTTAGAGAAGGGTGTAGCCATTTCAACTTGACTCACCCCTCTGTGGGAAATGCAGGGGTAAAATTTAGAGAAGGAAGTTACCCTTCCAAGTTGACGCGCCCTTTGGTGAGCCGCCCGAGGATAAAATTTAGAAGGATGTTGCCACGTCAACTTGACTCACCCTTTATGTGGGCAAAGCATGGGCAAAATTTAGACAAGGAAGTGGCCCTTCCAACTTGACTCACCCTTTTGTGGGCCATGCAGGGGTAAAATTTAGAGAAGGATGTTGCCCTTCCAAGTTGAGTCACCCTTTGGTGGGCCATGTAGGGGTAAAATTTAAAGAAGGATGTTGCCATTTCAACTTGACTCACCCCTTTGTGTGGGCAATGCAGGGGTAAAATTTAGAGAAGGAAGCGGTCATTCCAACTTGACTCACCCTTTTGTGGGCAACGCAGGGGTAAAATTTCAAGAAGGATGTTGCCATTTCAACTTGACTCACCCCAGTGTGTGGGCAATGCAGGGGTAAAATTTAGAGGAGTTGCCCTTCCAAGTTGACGCGCCCTTTGGTGAGCCACCCGAGGGTAAAATTTAGAGAAGGATGTTGCCATTCCAACTTGACGCACCCTTTATGTTGGCAATGCAATGGGAAATTTTCAAGAAGGATGTTGCCATTCCAACTTGACTCACCCCTTTATGTTGACAATGCAGGGGTGAAATTTAGAGAAGGATGTTGCCATTCCAACTTGACTCACCCCTTTGCGTGGGCAATGCAGGGGTAAAATTTAGAGAAGGAAGTGGCCCTTCCAACTTGACTCACCCTTTTGTGGGCCATGCAGGGGTAAAATTTAGAGAAGGATGTCGCCCTTCCAAATTGACGCACCCTTTGGTGGGCAATGCAGGGGTAAAATTAAGAGAAGAAAGTGGTCACTCCAAATTGACTCACCCTTTTGTGGGCAATGCAGGGGTAAAATTTAGAGAAGGAAGTTGCCCTTCCAAGTTGACGCGGCCTTTGGTGAGCCACCCGAGGGTAAAATTTAGAGAAGGATGTCGCCGTTCCAGGTTGACTCAACCTCTTGTGGGCAAGGCAGGGGGAAAATTTTGAGAAGGATGTTGCCCTTCCAAGTTGATTCACCCTTTGGTGAGCCCCTGGAGGGAAAAAATTAGGGGAGGAAGTGGCCATTCCAAGTTGACGACCCTTTTAAGTGAGCAAACCCCTTTATGTGGGCAATGCAGGGGTAGGATTTAGACAAGGAAGTGGCCCTTCAAACTTGACTCACCCTTTTGTGGGTCATGCAAGGGTAAAATTTAGAGAAGGATGTCGCCCTTCCAAGTTGACTCACCCTTTGGTGGGCCATGCAGGGGTAAAATTTAGAGAAGGATGTTGCCATTTCAAGTTGACTCACACCTTGCGTGGGCAACGCAGAGTAAAATTGAGAAAAGGAAGTGGTCATTCGGCAATGCAAGGGTAAAATTTAGAGAAAGATGTTGCCATTTCAACTCGACTGAGCCCTTTGAGTGGGCAATGCAGGGGCAAATTTTAGAGAAGGGAGTTGCCCTTCCAAGTTGACGCGCCCTTTGGTAAGCCACCCGAGGGCAAATTTAGAGAAGGAAGTTGCCCTTCCAAGTTGACGCGCCCTTTGGTGGGCCATGCAGGGATAAAATTTAGACAAGGATGTTGCCAGTCCAACTTGACTCACCCCTTTATGTGGGCAATGCAAGGGTAAATTTTAGATAAGGAAGTGGTCATTCCAACTTGAGTCACCCTTTTGTGGGCAATGCAGGGGTAAATTATAGAGAAGGATTTCTTTATTTCAACTGGACTGTTTCAACTTGACTCACCCGTTTACGTGGGCAATGCAGGGGTAAAATTTAGAGAAGGAAGCTCCAACTTGACTCCCCCTTTTGTTAAAGAAGGATGTTGCCATTTCAACTTGACTCACCCTTCTGTGGGCAAGGCAGGGGTAAAATTTAAAGAAGGAAGTGGCCCTCAACTTGACCCACCCTTGTGGGCCATGCAAGGGCAACGCAGGGGTAGAATTTAGAGAAGGATGTTGCCTTTTCAACTTGATTCACCCCTTTGTGTGGGCAATGCAGGGGTAAATTTTAGACAAGGAAGTGGTCAGTCCAACTTGACGCACCCTTTTGTGGGCCATGCAGGGGTAGAATTTAGAGAAAGATGTAGCCGTTTCAACTTGACTCACCCCTTTATGTGGGAAATGCAGGGGTATAATTTAGAGAAGGATGTCGCCCTTCCAAATTGACGCACCCTTTGGTGAGCCACCCGAGGATAAAATTTAGAGAAGGATGTTGCCACTTCAACTTGACTCACCCCTTTGTGTGGGCAACGCAGAGGCTAAATCTAGAGAAGGAAGTGGTCATTCCAACTTGACTCACCCCTTTCTGTGGGCAATGCAGGGGTAAAATTTAGATAAAGAAGTGGTCATTCCAACTTGCCGGAGACCGGGCCGCAGACCGGACCGGAGATCGGACCGTGACCGGGCCGGGCCGGTGACCGGAGACCGCTGGTGACCGGGCCGGGGGGGCGGAGACCGGGCCGGTGACCCGTGATTGGGCCGGTGACCGGGCCGGAGACCGGAAAACAAAAAAAGTATATATGTGTCTTGCGCCTTGAAAGTTGGTGGGTAAACAAAGCAAAGTAGGAAAACGCAGCCTTGCTTCCATTCTTGAACTGTCCATCCAAGGAACACGTGTATTTGAGAAGCTGAGCTTCCAGCGAAAGAGGTTGGAGTTACAGACTGCTTGGCAATTCTTGGGATTCGCCATTCCAAACAAAAATCGGGAGGGCCAACCCAATCCAGAAGAATTGTCTCCAATTGTCTCCCCGAGTTTCAATGCCCAGCAGCCTTGCCTGCCGAATGTGTTCAGTCACCTCAGGGTAAACAAGTACCAACGCTTTCAACTCATGTAATTAAACCTGACATTTGAGACTGAAACTCCACAGGAGAATCTGTCACCCATTCGTTGCACTCAAATGTTGTTTTTTTTGCTGAGCAGTCTCCTCGCCCACTGATGGACACACTCACGCAGAATTGTCGCAAGGCTTTGTGTGATGGACAAAATCTTTCACCCTGGCAAGTCGTGAGTAGTTTGCATTTACAAGGATCCGCCCATTGTCTGTCATTGCTTTTATTAACTGCTTCCAAAACTAAAAGCGCCAATGTTGAGTCCAACTTTCGATGCCGTGAGCCAAGATCTGCCCGCCTCGAGTGCATGGTCTCTCTCAAGAGCCAGGGCCGTATCTCGGTCTCTGTCATGCTGCCACTCACGGGCTGCTCGGCGGCAAAAGGCAAAAGGAACCTCTGGGTGTGCGGGGCTAGTCAAAGTGGCAGTGATGTTAGACGGTTCATGACCGACTTTGACAGACTCTTGCGATCCAAATCAACAAAGTCTTCCAACATACTACCGTAAAAATCATATGATCAGCAGCACAAAGCTCTATCATACGCTCCCTGCTACAGTAGTCATTTGCCAAAAATCCAATGTTGTGTGTGGCCTCTGTTTTTGGTCCTTCTCTGTGCAAAGTCACTTTCTCTTCACGTCTTGAAGCTTCGTCTCACTCATGACCAGCAAGGGATTGTTCTCAGCACCTCAATGCGAGGCTTTTCGCCAGGAAACACTTTGCTGGTGGAGTCACAGTTGTGAAACAAAGAGATTGACACGAAAACTCACAAAACGCATTGCATTTGCATCGCCCGATGAGGGGCACGACTCCTTGGTCAACAGGAGGAAAATGAAATCAAGGCACTGGTCTTGGAGCCATGGGCTTTATTCCGTGCCTGGCACAGGAAAGGTGACCAAAATGTCACAATGCCAAGTGATGTATTGAAAAAAACCCTATACATTTTGTATGACCACTTTTAGCCTTATCGGTTTTTTAAACTCTTTATCGTTTTTCAATGTTTGGAACTCAGTATACAGTCTCTTGTCGTTCCCAGCCTCCACTGCAAAAAAGTCATGTGGGTTCACCGGTGTTGGGGTCGGCCGGTGTTGGGTCCTTTACCGGGAGGTCCGGCCTTCGGAACGGGGACCGGTTCCCGGCTCGACCGGTCTCCCGGTCAAGGGAGATGTCTCAATGTCTCGATGCCCATTTACGGGGGGCAGGTCGGCCCGTGGTGATGCCCATGGGAGAGTCACCGGTGGGACTTCACCTCTTCGCCGGTGACTCCCGTCGGTAAAGGGAATAGACACAGAGACAGGGGGAGAGGAGAAAAAGTGCACCAAAAGTAGCTAGTTAATTTTTAATTCTTAGTGATTTTCCTGGTCAAATTCCTTCAGTTCCTGGCTTTCCTTGATGTTTGGAGTCTGTTTGAAGGAAATTTTGAAACGTGTTGAATTTGTACATGTGGGACATGGTCTTCCCGAGGACTTTTTCGTGTATTCTTGTTATCGTTTTTGTTATCGTTTTGTTATCGTTTTGGAACCCCCAACGCTTCACCCATTCTGGTGGCCTAACGGACTCAAACACTTAATACAACATATTCTCAAGAATGATTCACATGGGTGCTGTTGACTTGTCGGCCCAACATCCACTGCATTAGAATCGATGCATGTACATGCAACTACTTACCCATATGGATCAGCAAATGTCTACCCATGTCCCAGCGATGCTCAAGGAGCCAAACAAGAAATCACTCCTGAATGCTTGTATTACACGAAAACCTTGACATGAAACACTCTTGTTAAAAAGAATGCACCTGAAATCAATAACTGGATTTGACAGCTATTTGCTTCAAGAACTGAAGGCCTTTGAATTTCCAATGCTTCTATTCTCATGTACTGTATTGCATGTATTTCATGAGTGTTATCGTTTTTTTAACTCTTTATCGTTTTACAATGAATCAGCCATGGTTTGCTAAAACGGGACCACTGCTTACATTTCTCCTATGTCCCGGGGTTTTTTAAAACATCAAGTGTCTGATTAATATGCCTGTTTTCTGACTGATATCATCTAACACCACTGCTCAATGTAAACCGGCTGATCATGAGTGGGGCTGGGGTCACAGTGTCATCACACATGTGCTGAATTTTACCACCCCAATCCCACTTAGCAAACACAACAATCAATCAGTCATCAGTGCTTTCATGGCGCATGAACTCGAGTCTTTGGGCTCAGCTGATTCCCTCAGCTGATGAGCGTGCACCCTGTTGGCACCTGCATCCGTTGCCGCTCCAACTGGTGGGTCAATTCCACATCAGTATCGTTGGTGGGCAGCCATGCCGTAGCACCTCTCAGTGCCAATATTGAGTTCAAAGTCACTTGTATGTCACTTGTATCTGTTCCATTCCTCTGGGTCATACTTTGGCACAAGAGTCGACCTGACCTGCTCCAATGTGCCATAAGCCGACTGGCATCCCAAAAACGGAGTTCGTCATCCAAGCTCTCTTTGGGCCTCCTCCAAGAAAGGGCAGTTCCCGCTTGGTCGAGGGTTCTTTCTCTGTCCTTGAGCAAGGCCGGAAAGCTGAAACTTGTTGACTGGTTGGGTTAAAGTTGAACCCACACTTGGTCGACTGATGGTCAGCAACTGGCATGGGTGGTTCAATGTGCTAAGATTGGAGGATCCTTGAAGGCATCCTTGCTGTGGCGCTTTCTCTAAAACATTCTAAATCTTAGATATTATATACACGTCTCTAGAACTGCATATAAGTTCCTGTTCTCTGAGTGCCGTTGATTATATAGATATATAGATTCGATGTCTCCTCTGACTGCCGTAAGTATTCTCGATTCAATCATGCTCAACCTGCCAAAATTGAACACGTGCCAGTCCGACATTGACATATCCGACCCAATCATTCTCTCTGGATCATTTCTGCATGCCTTCATAACATAAAAAGGAGCACGCTTGGTAACATTTTTCTCCGGGCAGCGGAACTTGGTACGGCAGCTTGAAATCCAGCAACGGCTTGATGTAGCCTGCAAGGAAAACCCAAACGACTCGACCAGTTTCGATTCACCTGATGCGAAAACCTTTTTTTTCACCGGGAAGCATCCTCGGTACAGCGTTTGCTGACATTGAGCAAGGTAGAACATGCCATGTTGCCAGCAATTCTACTTGGGGGACATACACACGGAACTCAGACCTCCGTCACGTCCCAGCCGACCGAAATCTGTCACGTCTCTCCAGCCTGTGAAGCCCACACGAGACTGGGAGACTCGGCCTTCGGTCTCAACACTCGTCTCCTCCTGACAAATCAACACCACTCGGCCATCCGAGGCCGCCTAGTGTGTTGAGTAGCCTTCGTCGAACAGAATCAAAACACCAACTCACCTGTTGAATCTTTGTGAGTTCTTTCACCAGATGCCAAACAGCCTCGGGTGGCCATCCAACGTGCCGCTGTGGATGCCTCTTCCACTTCCTCCTTGTGCTCTGTGAACAGCGCTGGCTGACGAATCCGGAGCCGGTCCGCCATGAGCGAGCGCTTGTTGCCCCAGGCAGCCTGTGCCAGGCCGTCTGCTTGTACTTGATGATTGTTGGGACGAACTGAGGCGTGCAGAATATTGCAGAATAAGAATCACTAAGTCTCTAGTTCTATTTTTGCACACGCTCCCAACAAAAAGGAAAATGTATCAAAGCAATTAGAACAGGAAGACGAAGCAGCATGACCCAAACACATGGCTCCTCGATTTGGCATTCGTCCAACGGCGCACGCCGCAGGACTTGTTGCTTGGCCCAGTGACTGCTGTCGATGCCAAGTTGCTCCAAGTACCTCGCTGGTGCGTTTTTTGGTGGCTGTATGCCCTCTTAAGTCTTGAGAAACAAACACTTGGGGCGAATATGACACACCTGGCCTCTCGGCGTAGACATCACGGATCACTTTGGCACAGTCCCCTTTGCTGGGAATGTGTTTGGCCTGCAAAGCAAGACATCTTTCAGTAGCTCAATAAGGTACCGCCGTATCAGATTCATTGATTCTGTATGTGCAGTAATAGTGATCATCCACTTGCAGCTGTTTGCTGGGCTGTCCGCCCGCCGCCTGCAGTACTCAAAAGCTACCTACCTCTGTTGGCTTGATCATGCCGTCCCCGCCATCCCCTCCTCTTCAAAAGACGCCAGCTGGATCTCGATGTCCGCCAAGGTCCCATGGCTCATGACAGTCCAACCCCATGCAACTGGCAGCTATAGAAGGCCTGGTCTCCCTACGTGCGTGTTGCGTCCGATGCGGTGAACAAGTCCAGGTTTGCTGGAAGGCATGGATGAGACAATATCTAGGAGGTGACCTCTACACTCTACAGGCACGTGAATTTCCACTCAGATTGAGCTTGTGGCCTACCATGTGAAATGGCTGAGGCGAAGAAACCTACGGTGAACCAAATCAGAAATCCCAACCTTGGGGCACAAAGCCGCCATACTGTATCTCACACTTGTCTGCTTCACTTCTGCTTGACAGCCGCAAATACGAGTACGTTGGAAAACACTGAATCCTCGTTGAAACCATGCTTTTCATGTGTTCCAGCTAGGCACACCGTATTGACTTTAGGAGCGAGTTCAGGTCCTGTGGTCGACACAGCACTGCTCCGTAGAGGCCACATTTCATTCCTGGCCATGACAGTAGCGGCACAATGGTCATTGGGTCATCGTACCGTTCAAACAGTTAAACACCCCATACATGGCTGAAAAAGTCGTAAGAAAGAATACTCTAGTAGACCCCAGGAAACAGCGGCACCGCGGAAGAACATTGGCTTGAAGCAGCTGTGCAGCTTGAACATGGCCAATGCTCACTTGGTGAAGATACGAAATGGCCAAAAACAAGCAGAGACAGCCAGAGACACCAAAAAAAGGAGGACTGACCCGAGCAATCAACAATCAAGCACAACAGGAAACGGCCAGAGGCATTCCAAAAACGTTTTTGGCCTTTCTTGGTAAGAGCTGAAGGGCAACATCAAATGTCACTGATGGAGGGTGTACCTCACGCCTAGCCTCAGGACTCCAAACACTACAAGGGTGAGAAGAGCTTCCATGAGCTCAGAATGCACCCTCAATCGTGGCTCTGCTCCAGCCAAGCCGCAAGGCCGCCCGCGCTAGGTGTCCAGTCCTTTGTCGGTGGCGGAGCCAAGCCAGCGGATCGTTCTCAAGGTCTGCGTCAGCTGCCACTGGAGAATCGAGCTGCTCATAGGTCCGCACAATGCCATATAGCTGCAAAGCAAGGTCATTCTGGCAATATTGAAGCGCCAAGGCACAGAAGGTGTGGAGGCGACCCAAGCAATACAGCACAGCGACAGATGGAGAATAATGAAGACACGGCAAAAGAGGCGACCCAGCATTCGGAGATTGCCGGAGAAGTCAATAAAGAGTTGACCCGGTTGCAACCCTCCGAGCGGGCGACAACTGGAACACCGCAAAAGGAGCCCAAGCAATCCAGTGCAAAGAACCCACCACAGCCTGAGACGGCCAAAAACGCCACAAAAGAGGCGACCGCACAGCAGGAGACAAGCAGAGAAAACCCTACGACCAGCAAAGCACGCGTTCAAAGGACTGAGAACCCCTGACCGGTAACCCTGCACAGATGGTTCATGGGTCAAGATTCAGTCGCCAAATATGCAATCTTAGGATCGAAACACTACTTGGAGCAAGGACGCTACTAGGAACAAGTGCATCGCTACTAGTAACAAGTGCCTTACTAGTAGTAACAAGAAGCTATTAGTAACAAGTGCCTTACTACTAGGAGCAAGAAGCTACTAGGGGCTCCTGGCTGAACTCTCGGTGGGATCCACTCTGTCGTCCCTGAGAAGGATGGAAGCTGAGATACCGAAACATACCGAAACCCTTCCTTTTACATGAGCCCTTTACATCCTCTTTGTAGCCTTTAAAGGCTCAAGGCAACGAAAGGAGCTTACCACCCTCCGTCTCGAACCTCGGTTGAACCGGTAGGTGTTGTGAGAAACGGCAAACCTCAGACTGTGTCGAGAGTAAGGATGATGAACCGAAAGCAAGTTCCAACGCGGGCAGTAACCATCAACAAGAGCTGTTGTAACCAAGGCATTCTCCATGGAATGGGCAGGTGTTCCAGGTAGTTGCTCACTTCATGGATGTTTCTTGCCCATAAAGAGTGTCCTCCCAAATCTTCACAAGGGCATGAATTGCATCCCCTTCTACTAGAGCATTTAGAGCCAGGAATTTGGAATGCTACTTCACTCTTCAATAGAGTCGCAAAGTATGTCTCCAATGAAGCGAGTTCGTAAAGGCCTAATGTATTTCAGAACGAAAGTTTGGTCACACTTTTTCTACAGAATCTGAGGAGTCGACCTCTCCTTCAGAATTCAAGCGTTGGAGTTTCCGTCCCAAGCTGAACTAGAATACTAAGACTCAAACCAATATAAACCTTATGAAACCTATACAGCCACTTCAAGGTGGAAACTCCTGTGCCGGAGTTCCACTGTGATCCTCTGTAGGATTCTGTTGGCAAACGGTTGTAGGTCATGAAGACTCATAGGTGCGAAAAAACACACACAAAAAAAAAACACTCTTGTCCTTTCCGTTTCACCCAGCAACCCTGGCACTAACAAGAAGCTAGTAGTAACAAGTGCATCGCTACTAGTAACAAGTGCCTTACTAGTAGTAACAAAAAGCTATTAGAAACAAGTGCCACGCTAGTAGTAACAGGTGCCACGCTAGTAGTAACAAAAAGCTACTAGGAGCAGAGGGCAACTGCAGAAACTCCGCCAGTCCCTTCGAGCCTCAAAGCTTTAGGGGATCTCACTGCGCAAGCAGGTTGCCACTAAAGCTTTGCTACCGTGCAACGTCGAAGCGTTGCTGCTTGGCCTCCACCTATTTCTTACTATCCGATAGGCTCCTCTAAGATCCCTAAGTTTGTTTTGAGAGACCAGTCTCGGACTTAGACAATCATGATATGAAGGAAACCAATCCTTGGACGCCTCCATAGAAATGTCGCTAGCATGAAGATGAAGGATTGCCTGTGCTCCAGCTTCTGGGGTCCAACCAAGGTTTTAAAGAATCACTCTTGCGCCCAACCCCTCAGGGCGATTTGTTGCGCCGAAGAACGCCAAGTTCAAAAAGTTCTCATCCTCTGAGAAGCGGCGGTCCCATGACCTCAGTCTCATCACTGCGTCCAATCGCTTAGGACTTGTCATCTCCCATGTCAAAAGTTATGGATCTGACTGTTTGGTGACAGCCATTTTTCAGAGTAGACAGCAATGACTGGCAAGAGTTGGGAAACAGGCAAGAGTTGGGAGTTCGCCCCCTTTAGTCTAGCCAATCGCATCACAACGCGACCTATGGATGGACTAAACACAGCTGATGGATCATCTTTCATCCCCAAGGCTTGGGCCAATCGAAAACCTGCAGGTCAGGCTATAGGTCCGGCACACGTTACGTCTTCAATCCGTGCGATCAAGAATGCACATTCAAAAAGAAAGTGGATCAACGGCCCCATAGTTCTGCTGAATTCAGGCAGCATGGGGAATGTGTCGTGTCGCAAGTGTTCAGCATGTAAAAAGAAAAACGATGGCAGAATCGTAGTGGGAATCGCCACTGCACAATAACAACTCTGCATAAAATGCATTGGCATACCAACTCATCCTGTAAACTGAAAAAACATCTGCAGTGTACATGTTGCAATGCAATGCAGCGCATTGCGATCACATGGTGAAACTCCGTCCTCAATGCGCCCCCATGGTTCATCATCTCCCCCACAGGCCTGACCGAAAAGGCAGATCTGATGGTTTGTTGCCGAAATATGAACAGACAAGTGAAAAAGAAAATATGTTAGTTAGTTTAACTGGGCTCGGGTCCGCGCCCTGGGTGACCAACGAAGCGTGGGGGCTTTTGGAGTTCTGCGCTGCAGCAAGTGCCTGTCAAAGCACTTGCTGTGTCGGGCAAAAGGCCAAACAATGAAACACTAGATACTTCGGCCCACTAGAGACTGCAAACATGTTCAAACAATTCATCACCTGGCTGTAATTGTCTTCTGTGCGTGAGCATGGTTCATCTGCATTACAGCAAGAAAGAACATGCACGGTGGGCAGAGGCATGATGGGCGATGGAAATGAACCTTTCTTGATTCTGATTGGAACACCTTCCACTCAGCATGCCATCACTACAGTCACTACAAACCAAGGACATCCAAGCATGTCATCTTCACAAGATTCCTAAGGGCAAACCGAATCAAACCTATAGGACTTTCGAAATGGCGGCTCTGTGCGGCATGGCCTTTCAATACGCTTTTTTTCCGTGCCAAAGTTGAGAAAGATCGCAACGCCCAAGGTGCCCAAACCCTCAAGGTGTCAAAACCCAGAGAAGACAACCTCTCGGTCGAACACATACTGTAAAAGGTATGGGAATTTGTGGGGAAGGTGTGAAGACACTTTAAACCTCTCCCATACCTCTACTTAAATAGTATGTCACGTTGTATACCAATGTGGTCAGGCCCGTGGCCCAAAGATCTCGTCAAGAAAGCCCTGACGATGATAGTAGATGTAACATGTACGTAGGTGTGTGGTCAAAAAGCTCATAAAGACCTATATAGATATTCGATGGAAGCATTCAAATTTAGACTGTTGTAGAGCTCCAAGAGTCTTTTCAACCTGTACTAATATTAGGCCAAATAGGCCTAGCAAAGAGCACTCAAGGAGACACCATGAGATTCAAAAGAATCCACACCACGCAACTTCTGCTGAGCCTCGAGAGCCAAGAAAATCCCTCCAAACACTGCGCATTGCTCTCGCCCAGAAATCTTCGTCTGGGCTTTCTGGGCCGTTGCTGAATTGCATTTCACATCCTTCCATCACACTCGCCAAGACAAAAGAAAGGGGTAATCAGTAACGTATGCTAACGCCTGAAGCACAGCTCGTAAAGCATCTGGCACAGGTCAAGCCTGTGAATTTCTATCATTTCTACAACAGGGGAATAAGAAGAACTGACTCCCAATGTCTTGTGTCTGCAGTGTCTGCATGCTGAATTGCTGGACTGCAGCACCGGTAGCGGAACTCTTGAACTAGTCACTGAGTAGCTGCAGAGAGAATATTAAAAATACTTGCGCTCCTTGCCTTATTTGCTTTGTCGCAAAGCAAGGGTGCCTCCCATGCTAGTTGATGGGTTTCATCATGTTTCATCTAATCTAGCTAGCTTGCCTTGTGCATCTTGATGCAAATCAGTTTACATGTCATGGATAGCCTAGCCTAGCCTTTTTCTCTGACTTGAAACCAAACACCTTCTCTCCATTGTACAATATAGATGGCACTCGGATAAGGGAGCTGAACGCTGGACACCATCAAACTTCTTCTCGTGCCCCTACACTGCTGCCTGTGTTTGAGTCTATACATCTATAATATAGTCTCTAGAAACTTTTGCTGCGACACTCAACTTGCAATCCTGCAAGCTTGGTGGCAAGTGATGGAGGGCTTGTTAACCTGCACTCTGCGTTGAGAGGCAGGAAGGATTCCGGATTGGACAATGATGTAACTGCAGCATGTCCAGCAGCAGCCCCGGCAGCAGTGATACTACATTCCTCTGTTTCTCTTTGGCTAGGCTGGATCGCACTTGCAATTAGCAACCAAGGTTGTTGGAGGCATTCACTTGGTCACTTGCCAATGGTACGGCACGTCCAGAGCGTAAGCAAGGACTTAATAGTTTTTGGATGTTTTTGGGCCATGCGCCTGGAGACATTGGATCATAGAATCTATGGAAGTTATGAGAAGGAAGTCAAAATCCGTTCGAAATGCCGAGGCGGCATGGACCGTTTCAGGCCCAGCTGGCAGTCAGAATTGTGCAAAGTAAGACGAACCGCGATGTGGCGAATCATGTGCGGCAAGCTCTCGGGGACAATACGTAGCTGGGTGGTCTAGAGCCGTCACAGGTCACGAAGCAGGGGTATGACATGATGCCCTGAGCGGTTTGACTTCCCTCACTCATTCGGGGCAATCACTGTGACGCCTCAACCAGTGAGAAAAGGTTGAACAAACAGTTGGTCCGTGAACATATGACATGATCCCTTTTGACATACGACTCCCCTCATCGCACAAAAACATTGCATGCAGCCAAGAAACAGGGCTGCAGCTTTTTGAGGGACTGCATACAAAAACAAAAAATGCACATGTCTGCACGCCTGGAGTCATTGTCCAGGGAGCTGAGATGATGGATGGGTTTCAGAGAGCACAAGAACTATTTGCACACTTTCGGTTGGCTCAATAAACTTGGCACACAAGCGGAGGACTTGTACGGTCCCCCGCAAAATAGAAAGTACAACACAGAATGATTGCATTCATTGAAGCAAGTCTCAGCACCCGCCTCGAAAGTGTAAAACACCTCACCTGGTTCAAAAGCAAAGCTTTTGGAATGCAAAGCTTCCGGTGTGCCAAACAATGATACACAACAATGTGCGTCAAAGCACATGACTGAGGCCGCTCTGAAGGTTCGACCTGCTTGTGTTGCAAGAATGCCAATACAAAACAGCCAACATGCAATCTAAAGCAATAACGCTGGTCTTTCTCCCTTCTTGGTTGGTGCTTTTTAGGGAGTGAGGGTGGCTCATCGGTCTACCCTGATGCCTCATGCACCCAATGCTGATTCCATGCTGGTCACATCACTCTTGTTAGCGTAAAACCCCTGGCTTTGGAGGCCAATCTGAGACTTCTGGCTCGTTGAAGGCCTGGCATGTTGGATCGGTCCATGCACTGAGTATGGTACAACAGTAGCCCTGTTTATGAATCGTCAAACTACGATGTTGGAATCATCAAAGTCCGGTCTGTGTTTGGAGACCAATATGTGATATATGGGAATGAGATGAACCTTATGTTAATATATATATATGGTGGTTGTCCAATATTCTTGTTTATTGAAACGGCCATTCTTCGCGAAAAAAACATTAACATTCGCGAAACTTTCGCGAACCCTGTGTTTTTCTTTCGCGGGGGTTCACCATGTCATGAAACCATTTAACCTGGTAGGGAATACAGTTTGTGGGGTTGCTATGGGCTACGGGGTTCCTCTGGAGCCGATTCATTCGCCGAAACCTTCGCCAGACTTTCGCGAAACTTTCGCGAAATAATCCCTGTGCTTTGGAGGTTTTTACGGCATACATAACATAGGGTGGACTACATGAAACAGGAAGGAAGCTTCACACGGATTCCAAAGTTGAAGCTGCTGACGGTCAGAAAAGGATGTGGTTATGCATGGGGCAAGCCTGAAGGCTCACCAAAGAACATACAATAAAAATTCATACTTTCGCATCTTTCGCGAAAAAAAAACATTAACATTCGCGAACTCGAAAAAAACTTTCGCGAGACCCACGATCATGTCATCCAAGGCTCTCGACATTAAAAACCCTTACAAGGACCTTTTGGATAACTCCCATATGTGTATTTCCTGATATTTGCAAATATCCATCGTGCAATTGTAACACGGTCTAACCTACAATTGCAGGGTGTGCCACGGCAGTGCTGACTGTCCTGAATGAAATCGACAAAGCTCTGTGGGAATAGGCTCGAAACAGGATAACATAGAAACAGGAGAACATAAATCATATATTATTAAATATTATACATGTATACATATATATATATATTATAGTTATACATAATTATCATATACATCATGTGGTGTCTTCGGGTTTGCACTGGAATCTTAACATCCTCTCTGGGTATGTCTTCCACTTTAATTCCGTGCATTGGCTGGGGAGTTCGGGTTTGTCCACCTTGACAAACAAAGAGCGCTTGCATTGACAGAGTTTCAGCCCCTTGCAGGCCTCCTCGTCTTGGGAATCTTGCACCAACGGCTGGTGCGCCTGGGCGTCCCAAAGAACAACAAGCGTCCCAAAGGTCAAAGTTTGGTCTGGTGACTAGTGTGATCCTTCCTTTCTCATTGGTTGGAACAAGTACGGGAAGCCTGTGGCTCATCAAATCAATTGTTAGTCCTTCTCAAACTTCATTGTTCAAGGCTCTGACTTTCAGGTGGGTTTTCAACAAAATGATGCACCTGCCTTTGGGAGAAGAAAACTGCGGCAAATATGCCAGTACACCCCAAACTGTTGGTTATTTTGGTGAGGGTCCAGCCCTCCAAGTGCCACATGTGATACTTTGTTGCATCGGGCATCTGCTAATTAAATCGATTTCAAATTTCAAACAACCTGAAAGGATGCCTCCAGTCCACGCAGCATAATTAAACCAATGTATGTGCCAAAGAGCAGCTGCGTTTGATCAAACCTGCTGTTAATCTTGTTCAATGTTGATTTGCCAACCAATTTCTATCTATTTCTTTTAGATTTCTTTTTGTGCGCCTGGGTCGTGGAGCGGAAGAGGTGACGGAGCCCGCGGATCATCACCATGAGAACGAGCGCGAAGGTACCTCGAAGGAATGCTGAGAAATTGTGAGGAAAATGTAACAATAACAAGAAGCTACTAGGAACAAAGGGCATCACTACTAGGAACAAGGACGCTACTAGGGGCGCTCCTGGCCTTACGACTAGGAGCAAGGACGCTACTAGGGGATCCTGGCCGTACTACTAGAAACAAGTAGCTACTAGTAACAAGAAGCTACTAGGAACAAAGGGCATCGCTACTAGGAGCAAGAATGCTACTAGTAGCTCCTGGCATCACTACTAGGAACAAGGACGCTACTAGGCGCTCCTAGCCTTACTACTAGGAGCAAGGACGCTACAAGCTACTAGGGGCTCCTGGCCTTACTACTAGGAGCAAGGAAGCTAC